TCTCACCTCATTCTCAGATCTCTTCTTGGTCATTCTCTCTTGTATGCACCTGAAAACAACTGGACAACCGAAACATTTGAACTTTTACGTTTTCTTTGAATTTTTCAGCATGGAATTAACCTCTACTTGTTATTTGGAACAAGATAACTAATGACGTTTTTTTATCCAGGCTTTTTGGTAGAACTTTGCATTTGATTTGATTGTAATTTGGCATTGCTGTCCATCTGGCGCCAAGTGAGCTTTGATATCCTAAAGCCCTGAAAAGTTCCTTTGTCCATTTCTTTCACGCCGTCTGAGATCACAGGGAAAGAATTGGTGAATTCTCGCACGCGTGCCATTCCTCGTGTTTTGTCAAAGCATACAGACAAAACAGAATCAATCTTTCCAAGAGAAAACGAACCGAACAAGAAAAGCGAATTTTAGAATCGCCACGACGAGGCTGACAGAGCCCCAGTTAGCCGTGAGTCCGTACAGACCTGGTCACAGTCCCATCGTCGTTCCGGGGCCGCTCTTGTTATCGGCGTGCGCCCGGAGTTCCTCTGCTCCAGCGTGCATGTTAATGGCCTGATCTGTGTCACCGAGCGGCGGCTCTTCAGAGTTCAGGGATGTGGAACAGAGCGAGAGGCTGCTTAGCAAGTGAAAGAACACGGCGCAGTCAGCCACTGGGAAACGGGTACAGCCAGCTGTAAATTGAAAGGGAGTCTTGGAGAAGATTAAAATGCACATAAATAAGGTTTTTTTTTTCTTTTCTAACTTCGGCTTTGAAGTCCATTTCCTTTCTCTTAACGAACCTGTTTCAACGGTGAACGTGATTATATTAGCCTCCCTTTTAACTTTTAATAGGGCCTTTCAGCTTTTTCGCTCACCTCTGTAGGTGTCGTTTGCCCTTTCATCTGGACAGCTTAGCCGCGATGGTGGTGTTTAAATTTAATGAGAAACTGAAACTTTTTTTTTAAAATCATAGATGCAGCGCAGGTTGCAACAGAAATCGGATTTTTCTTTCACTTCTTTCACTTTGTTGATTCCTCTTACATTTGTCTATAATGAAAGTTCGGGAGGGATGACAACAGCCAGGTTTAATCCGACTCAGCTGTCAGTCATCTGCAATCGCTGCTGACATGATTTCCTTACCTAAAATGTTATGAAAAGACTTTACAGTATGTGATCCCCTTATCCCCATCTTTTTGCATCCCACCTTCACAATACCCCCACCTCTGCAGCTGCCCCTTGGTCACTCCTCACTCTGCATGGGGGGATCCCAGCTTCCTCGTCTTCGGGCCAGGAGTAAGCAGATTAAGACTAAAACACTCCATAATCCTTTCAGTACACTTAATTCTTGGCTGTTGTTACTCCTAGTGAGTTATATATAATAAAATAGAATTGTCCCACTATGTCAATTCACATACTGTAGGAAGTTCAAAGACTGTTATGGGAGCAATGTGTTTTTAGTGAGATATACTCTGCTCGGAGAGAGATCAATCAAATGTGAAAGAGTTCTCTCTGTGTATGATGAGGCACCATGTCAACTGCAGAGGCGGGGTGCCGGTATGATTGACAGGTCTGTTTCGGAAATGCATCAAAGTTTTCATTAGTTTTAGGAAGACATCAAAAATCTTCCAGAGGCTCTCTGAAGCTAGTGTCTGCTTGGCTTTTAAGTGCCTTGTGAGCAAAATAACTGTTTCCAGCTAATTGATAACTAAACAGATCAAATTCCATTTTTCCCGTCTTTAACCACTGCTTGTCCTCATCTTTCTGAAACGAGCGGTGCTGATCTGTATTTACTTGCCATTTTCCGTGACCAAGTACAAAAACGGCTTTCGATTGTTTTGGGGATTTTTTCAGCACAACACAAACACATAAACAAACATGTTGGCAAGGAGTCCCCACACCACCTCCCTCAAGTCTCGGAGCTATTAATCTTAAAATCCTGCCCTGGGAGTTCTATTAATTAGTGTAGTTAGGCTGAACTGGGCACAAGCCCAAACAATTCCATGGCACGCCAGGCCTCAAGCTGAGATGGACTTGTAAGCCATGTGGATGGTGTGTTGTACTGCGTACTTTCCATCATTACTTCACAGCGCTGTCGGCCAGGAGCCAGGAGCATGGCCCTGTGGCCCATTATGGGAAATCAAAAAGAGGAAAAAAGAAATATATATACACTAACTGAACTCAAGCCCCAAGCATGTGAGCAATTTATGTCAGTGGTTTCGTACATTTCTGTTGGTAATCAGTCGAATCGCTGAAAATAAAGCCAGTTCGTTGCTGTATTTTGTGCTCCTTGAAGAAATGAAGCCGCGAGTCTCCTCTTCACGTCACAGATACAGTACAACATGTGCCTCTGCTCTAGAGAGGCCACTGACGTGTTGTGAGAGGAAAAACGAGATGCTGGCCGGCACCTTAGCCAGACCGTTTTTGCTCTTGAGACCTGTGCTCTAGCTGTGCGGGATGATACCGATTCGTGTCTGTCGGATATTTGCAGAGATCCGCAAACTTCCCCAGAGTCGGGTTTGTTACCGAAAACCACCTACCTGTTACTCGTTTCCACAGGAAAAAAAATAAAGCACAAGTGTATGTGAAATGTCAGTTAATTGCAAACATAGCATATTACCATGTTTGTTACTGACATTATTTCTCTTCTCTTGTTCTACTAACAGCACTATTCTGTACTTTTTAACCACTTTTCTTCATTAAATGTATAAGAGAAAGGTATTTTGACTGGAAAAGTCAGATTTGTTCCATTCTTTCTCTGTTCTACTCAGACTATGCTTCAATGAAACTTATTTAATGAGGAAAAGTAGCACGTTTTACCAGTGACCCCCACTGTATGCAGTTATACAATTTCTCTGTAAGACAAGACTATAATACAAGACTTACAGTATAAGATGTTTTTGACAGCATGCTGCAACGAACAAATGCACATACAGTATAATATTTTGCCTATGTGTTCTTTTTCTCTTCAGGGTGTGGGTGTCGGCTTTATAGCCATGAGCCAAGATGTGAAAAACACACAACTTTTTGTTTCAAATCAGGTGGGTAAACAGAAGTAGACGGTGATTTTAATTTTAGAAAGGTGCTTCTCGAGGTTTGAAGCTATATTCCTCACGCTTATTTTTTCTTCTCCAAACATTTATTTTTCAGGTTCCTTGGTCATATCTTATGTATTGTCATCTCCCCAGATAGTTTGCCTTTTACTATAGATTTTCCACACGAATTTATTTTTCATCCATGTAGTTTGCTACAATCTAATTATCACTACATAATGTGGACCACAAATATGTTTGTTTATATACAATATAGTGTATGGTCCATATTTTCTGAATGTGAATGTTTAGAAACTTTCATATCCATATAGAAACTTTGGGTATTACATTGATATCATGCTTGGATGTCATAATATAATGTGATTTGCTTCATGATATTCTATTTATACTTGACTTCATCTGGATGAGAAGGGCACTTACTGTATGCAAGTGTACATAAAATTATTATATCATTATTTTTTGCAGAAAGTAACGATAGTATCATCATTATGCCCTTAAAGAGTATGAAGTCTCATTTCATCATGTGACTTACAAGAGTAATATTTGGCAGGGCCAAGCCTCAAGAGGTTTAAAAGATTAAAAATGGAAATGGATTCAAATGTTGTAATGTTAAGTTTAAATCCACAATTCAAAATGACTTTATAATCTCTGCTTCTTACCCTTCAACACTTCGTTTAATCTGCTTTACAGAGACACCTGTATTCAGAAGACAGCTAAACAGGTTTAGCGTGACATAGCACAAATTATTGTGTTTGTGGGCCAGAGGAGCAGGCACAATTCAAGAAATATTATAAAATTCCAAAGAGTGTGTTGTCATCTAGATATTTCAAGCACCACCAATTTCACAGCATGGTGTCTCATTTGAGGCTTTTACTATGACCCTGAAACATTCATTCTATCATCTCAGACAGTGCCTTCAGTGCCTGCCTTAGAACTCACAACATGTGCTGGAGTCCACTGTGCTAACTGCCTAATACCATTGTCATCAATAAAGACTTTAACCCAGGTATCTGGGCAGCTTCTCAGGAATGTTTTGATTGAAAATGGTTTCACAACTCATTTGTTTAGTATGAGATGATGATCGTGAGATACAATGCATGAGATAGAAAAGCTGGTGAAAAATCTGTGGTGAATTCACAAAAGAGAAACAAACTATTTTATTTTAACTGCACTGTTAGGTAATAGTTAATAAGTTCATAGTTTTCTTTTAACTGTTTAACAGTTAATAAGGCTGACCCATCACTATAATAGTCTGCCATTTTCTTACTCATGCAATATATAAGACAACTTGAGGGAGATATTAGAAATACATACAGTATAAAGCATAATACATCAAAAATATCAAATAAATTGCAAAATGCTGTTCTTCTGTCCTGACCAATTGGGTATTTGAAGGCACAGAAGGCAACCTGGCGAGGGTCAAGCTGTGAGCGATGCAAGAGGAGAGCACAGAGCTATTGGAGTACAAATAATAAGCTTGCTCAAGGTTTTTAGGGAGAAAGGGAAGAAAAACGATAGTTCTGAAGGGATGAGGAATCGATGTTGGAAATGAATTAAAAATGAACATACAAGCAACAAACAAAATTGGAAATAAGACCATTTGGCAGAAGCAGAAGCAGAAGAGAAGGGGGTGAGACAGACCCAAGACAGAGGGCAATTTAGATTTCTTCTGTGTGTTTTCACTGGCGAGCAGCCTGGTTCTGGCAGAGGAGGGAGGAGAGCCAGGAATGGGAAGATTGAGATGTGAGAGAACAGAGGGAGTTTAGGAATAAGAGGTAAGAGCACAGTGGAGAGTGGCAGGGGCAGCGTCTACATTAAGCAATCGACAAACTTCAGATGTTCACACAAGAAAGTTGTGAAGATCACACAAAGACACAGAATCTGTGAACTTTAAAAAAAATTATTTTTATTTTAAGAACCAATAAAATTATGGCAAATATTTACAAATAATTATTTTCACATTTAGGGTACATAAATCGATAATTCACAAACAACAGCCACTCAGATGAACAGACACACAGATACTGATAATCTATATCCCATCTTATTGCAGAAATCTCCCGGTAACATCCAGAGAGTTGCAATTAACCATTTAACTTAGAAAACCCTGAAAATGAGCAAACCAAAAAAGAATAATAAAAAAGTAAAAAACAAAATCACAATCTCCAGTGTGGACAGTTTCAAAATTGAAAAGAAAAAGTGTATGATATCTTTGGCAAATCTGCACTGCTGTAATTACATTCAAATATTATGACACAAAAAAGCAACACACAGCACTAAGAAAGAACACCAAGAGAAGTTTCTTGTACTACTAGAAAATTGAATAAAAAACATACACATTTTTAAAGAAGCATTTCTTTTGTGGAGGCTTAATTTGTTTCTCGTCTCCATCCTTTTGAAGGCATTTATTCTTGAAATGTTTTATCTTTTTTCTTTTTTATTGTCTCTTTTTTTTTTACAAGTTAAGCTTTAAAACAGGCATCTCAGACTTTGGTGGATGCTATAGATATGTATTCTTTTTTATTTTTTATTTTGTTGATGTCGACAAGTTCATCGGTATAAATCGGCTTGCGTCATCACAGCATTTTTACTAAAATCTTAACAGATAAAAAATACACTTTCAAACACCTCTATTAAGAAGCCATGGAAATATAATAATCCCAGGATGTACAAAAAGGCCACTGGAAGGTGAAAACCAGGACATCGTTTTGGAAACCCTCAGCAGAGGCTAAACCCCATTAAGATAAATCTCTTGGTGCACAAATGTTCTAGTTGATAAATTGTTTTACACCTTGCTGTTGAATCCACTGAACTAAAATGGCACTAGGAAATAAAAACAAAGAATTAGGTGACGATACCAAAACATCAGATCAGTGAGCTACTAAAAACCAAAGGAGCTATTGTCAGTGGGCTAAATGGCCATCTCCTGTTTGCAATCTTTATCATGTTCTTAAAAACCACCCTAGCAGGGCCATAGAGTTTCATGCCCAGGTATCCAAGGCCTTGCATAGCTCAGCACTAGGGTGGAATAAATGGCTCCTTCAGGACATATGGGTTTCTGGATGAGGAGCTGGACAAATTGACATCTGTTTTTTTTTTGTGTGTGTGTGACACCATTAGGGGAACGACTGGGTGCCCAAATAAAAAGAGGGCCTTGCCATTTGTTTGTGATGGGTCCATTTTGAACTGAGCGAATCGCAAGTTCACTCCTCAGTATCTGTCCACATAAAAAAAAAAACATCAGCTGAAACGACATTTACTATGTACAGTGCCAAGACCTAGAAAAGCAGAAACTGAAATGTAATTGATATTTGGCAACAATTAAAGATGTTGTCTTTATATATATATACATAAACTCTAATTCTGAGTTGTGCTACCCTGTGTATTAAGTAATTTAGCCTTCCCCAAATTTAAGCATTCCGTGAAGTCTGTCAATATAAACAGAAATAGAAATAGAAAAGTTGTGTGACCCAAAGCATAGTTGCTTGATGTGATGTTTGATTCAGACGCCTACTAATTATTTTTTAAACATTTCAAACTGTATTCCTTTCAGAGCATCTGCCCATGCCTATTTTAACCTCTTTGCCTTGAATAAAGGAATCTCTGTTTACATCTCGACTTCCGTTTTGAAAGGGAATTTAAAAAACAAATCTCCCAGAAGGCATCGCCTTTTAGTTTCAAGAGGAAGTCACCCCCTTGGTGCCTCCCCGGTGTGGTGATATTTTAGATATTCCTAATCCTAATCACACAGTGACAACCCTTTGTGATGAAATGGAATAAAAGGAGAGTGGCAGATTTTCAGCTTAGCGCAGGAAGAAGTTGTGATGGCACTGCAAGTGACCTCCCAAAGGGGCCTGTTTTGAAAAGCAGTGCAGGTCAGAAGGAGAGTATGTTAGACGCTCTCAAATAGAGCCCAACAGAAAAACCACAAGGTTTCGCCTAGTGGTTGTCCTGTTTAGCAGACTGTGTTAAGAAGAACGAGGGAGGAGTGGATGGGCGAAAACAGAGGAGGAGACTAGACTGAATTTCCCTCCAGCCTTTGGGTCGATCCCTCTAGGCCAGATTTAAGGCACATTGGCAAAGGCAACATTTTGGGAAGATGCTAATGCCTCAGCTGTACCATTTCAAAGGACAGAAAAAGGACTTCAGTCTTTGTCAAAACTATATGTGACACATAATGAAACATATAAAAGTGAGAACAGCAAAAATAACCGTTTCTTCTATAGTTAAAGAAGTTCCATAATTACAACTATAACTAGCAATACAGTATATATAGTTATAGGATATGTGGTAGCTCGTTTCCTATTGTAGCCTTAACAAAGGTATCTTCTCTACACAAAACCCATTTACTGTATGTTAGGATACAGACTTGCATAAGAAAACATTTATCATAACGATTGAAATGTTTGATTGCTGCTGCAACATGCAAAAAGCAAACTGTCACCATAATCACTGGAGACATCAAACAAATGGCAAAGCAAGCACCTCTTGACAAAGTCAGCAACAACAGTCAGGAGAACAACACTTAAAAAAAAAACTAACAGATGAAGATTGCCATTTATTGTAGTTCTAGTGCTTAGACAGGAGCATGTTGGGGTTTTCACTGTGTTAAAACACACACAGTGTGTTTTTACAACAAACAAGGAGTGTTAGGTGTTCCATTTTCAGACCAGATAATTCTTTTGAAAGTTTGAAAATACTGTATGTATGTGTTTATACTGAACAAGATGGTACCGTTTTTGCGCATAAAAACCAACCAGGACTACTACCATTTTTACAGAGAATGTCACAATAGTTTGCATCACATGACAGAGTGCTTGCAGTCGTATACTGTACCTAACGTGTAGGATGAAACACTGTGTATAACACTGCTAATATGAAACACTGACATATGCAAGCAAGGAATCCAAATGTGTTGTGGTACAGCTTGCGTGGCCATTGGCCGTACATACAATTGTTAGCTTTAAAGTTGCTTTAAAACTAGGTTTTGTAGAGTTTTTGCTCATAACTCTTATCCGATCTAAAGTTTGCTCAACACAAAACGCTTGTGCGGGTTAGTGTACTGACTAGTCTCTCACCCTCTTGAAAACACCACGTACAAACAGTCCAAAATGCATTGTGGGTCACGAGCGACAATGTTACTTACAAACCCTTTTTACAGAATGTGTTTCCCACTCTTGAGTTCATGGGTGTTTCCTATTGCAACAAAAGCTACGTTGGCTAGAAATGTGTTTTAGAGATGTTGCGTTAAAGACAATGATGAGACATGAAAAGGGGAAGTCACAACTTAGTACAAACCTAAGCAACACCCACCTGCAAACCCATGTCCAATGCTTAAAATGAGCCCTGTGTCATCAGAAATGACACCGAAAGAACTTAAAACACATTGGAGGTAGTAACCCAAAAATCACTACAGGTATTGGGGGTCATGAATGAATGCAGGAAAAAAATGTAGGTCCACTTCTAAACACCTAGAAATGTCTGAACTTCTCAGGGAACCAGGGGTCTGATGAGTGACCTGTAGATTATCTGTGTAATTGAAAGTCGGTGCCCTGTATTTCTATACAGTACCTTCTGGTACTGTATATGATTACCTGCCTGAATTAAGGGTATTACTCCTGGCACATTGATAATTTCAGGTCAATTGCTTTGTGGAGTTTGAGGTGTGTAGTGACCTTCCTGGCCTTGTCATCATTGTGTAGGCTGTAAGAGTCATGGCAGGAGTACACCATCACATAGCTAATTTGCTGTCAAGAGAATAAAAAGGCACTATTCTTCTGCTGGCCTGGTATACCTCCATTTATAATGCCTGGGAAGTAGAATGTATTCATGTGAAGACCTGTGAATGGGATCTTATTGTTACACAGGAACTTGCAGTTTCTGTAGATGGCATTAGGCCTAAAAACCTATTAATTAATTCAAAATATGTGAAGCCATTTAAAGACATCAGAAAAACATAGGAGATAAAGGCAATGGAGCAGGTACTTCATGGTTCTGTGAGGTTAATGTAATACTGTTAAGTAATATAGTTCTCAGTTCTGGAAAATAAAGCAATCTCTTCATTTTTTCTATAAGTTGTCCCTTCAATCCAGTCAGTAAAAATGTAAATATGCCATGACATTGTACTTTGATATAAGTAGATTCCCACACAACTTTATGACTGTTCAAAATCATATAATATTTCTCCAGTAGAGCACAGAGTATGAATACAGTGGAATTCATAAAACATGATTTTACTTTACAAACGTCCTTAAAACCAAATAAGATTTGAAACCAGTTATGATACTACATGAATATAAAAGGTAATCCTTTTGGTGCCCTCGCCCATTTAAAATACTGCTAACTTGGAAAAAATGGAACCATCTGCCTGAGTCCATTTATACTTTCTCACTATACTTTCTCTTGGAAAGCCTTTTTCATTACATTAAGATATTGGTTCTTTGTTAATAGTTTAAGGCTTATGAGCACATTAAATCAACTTCATCTCCATGCTCTCCTTTCTCAACATGTTACCTCAAGGTGAATAATATCCAGCAATGGAAAAGGATGCATCTCTTACTCTAAGAGCACGCCAACAGTTTTTCAAAATACACACTTCAAAGCTGCCCAATCCACTGAATGAAGTGCAGTCCAGCTGAAAATCGAGGGTTAACTTTCACACAGAGAATATGTGAAAAGGAGACAAGCCAACTGTTTAATGGACCATCTTGTTCTTTTTCAATCACAGCCGTCAATCCAATAACTTCAAACAGATCGCAGTCAAAGCAAAGAATCGAGATCTAGATCAACAAATGAAGTCCTCATGAAATGAACGCTACCACATATCTCAGTATGAGAGCACATCTCATGTTTGGTGTGTCTTATCATATACAGTATCTTCAAATTATATTTTTACTTTTCTCTGTGCTGCAAGTCTAAAATATATTAATCTCTGCTCAATAAATAATTTATTTGCATTTGTTTTAAGAGAACTAAAAGTAGGTAAATGCAATATCGTAACAACTGATAACATATGTAACTTTAAAATTCTCTTGCATTTATATAAAGACTGACACTATGGTTTTTTTAAGTAATGTCAGTCTTTCCTTTATCTTGAATAAGAAAGTATACCATGTGTACTTTTATTGGATTATTTTCATTAAGCTATGCTTCCATTTTGACTATTTGTTGTTATATGATCCAACTAAGGCTTAAACACTTATCTGGTTAGAGTAGTATACAATGTAAATTGATAATAAGTCTGTACTCTAAAACTATGGTACTATTTTTTTTCAATGAAGTGCACAAAACTATGAACAAAAATCAGACTGAGACACCTAATTCTGAGAAGGAACACAGATGTTTTCTAAATGTATTGTAGTACCAGAAAAGTATACATTTTAATGCTCAAATTATTGTTAAAATATATTTTTTTAAACATTAGAAGGCAAACAGCCAGCTCATTAAACTTTCGGAGTCCTCTGCTCACACTTTACAATGAAATTAATAACTTCTCACACCATACAAGCACACTTTACCTGTGAAGAAACGTGCTTCTAAAATTTAGTGAATTTCAGCTGTCTGGCAAAAAAAGAAGGGTATTTTTTTCTAACAATGCAAGATTTCAAACCTGAGTAAGCCCTTTTTAAATTTCATGCCTTTTTGCTAATGGAAGCAGACCTATTGTACTTTATAAGTCACCTGGGACTTTATTTCTTTGCTTTTAATTTATTGTGCTTTGTCATAGCTCTCACATGATTTGCTTAGACATAAAAATACCAACTTTTGTCTAACCAGGTTGCTTTCAATATGGTCCACCAGAAATGCCTACACTAGCCTTTATACCACATTACCATATTGTTCTGTACATCACTAATGAAGCTTCACCTAACTCTTGCTGTGAGTTCCTGTGGTGTACTACAATGAAGTGCGTACACAATATGCCTCTGCTTTTCTGACCATCAGAGTGAGATTGTCTGTATCTTTCTCCCACTTTAAGGATCAGACCAGCTATAATCTACAATTAAAAAAAACCTGTATAGTAGTAACAGAGCTATTTATTTACTGATTGTTTTCAATGCAGAATTCATTCTACAACGCAATCTGAAAGAGTCCCTATGTATTTTATTTTGTCCCTCATTATTCTTGGCTTTACAAGATAAATAAATAAATTAAATATGGCAACATCTACATACAAAGCACATTTGGTTTCTATCAAACATACTGTACTACTCAGGTAACAGACCTACTGAAATGCCTAAAGTCTGCCCCTCCACTAGCCTTAAAACCATAATGACAGAGAAAGCCATGCAGACTGTCATTTTTGGCACTTAAAAGCAATTTACATATATATAATATTAATATGCCATTTTCCAATCTACTGAGCATCCCCCTCCAATTATCCCAGGGCAGTTTGAATCCAGCTCAGTAAGAACTGTTCTAAAAGGCAGTAGATACTTAAAAGTCATGTCTCTAGGTGCTAAAATACTGTACATGGGGCCACATTTAGCAATGTGTGTGACAGATGCATAGACACAATTCTCTGTTAAGGATGATCAAGAACCGCTTTTGCCAGAAGAATCACCTGGGTTCAAACCCTGATCTCAGGATTATAGATATTTAGTTAAATATATCAGTTGCCTACTAGATAGCTGGTTGAGTAAAACAGACTTTGATAAAATATATTATTCATATTAAATCAAGATAGTGCCGAGATAGTATGTCTGACTAATTGCCCTGAAATCAACGCAATAACCACTAAACAGAACATTTGTAGGAAGTGAAGTTAAACAGAAACATTTTTAAGTCTATTAATTGAAGAATGGACATCATCAATGAAAAGGCATGAAATGTCAATATTGATTGTACTTTGAGACTAATTCTATGGTCCCTATAATTATTCTACTGATCTGCTTCAGCAGAGAGTTATTGATAAGCAATTAATTTGAAAACTTCCATTTTTCTCATCACTGCTTTGGGATGCTTTGTCATGTTCAAACATTTATATTCCAGCCCCCCCCCTCGTTCCTGTCAATCAGCAACAAACCCATCACTTCCTGCAGCAAAGAGAGATTCAGTGGGTCTTTAATGGGGCTGTGTATCATGGCTTTGTGTGTGCAGGCGAAACTGCACTCAATGCTAAATCTGGCCCATGAGGTTTTTTTCTATTCAGATTTCATTATCTTCGCCAATACTGCACCAGCATCAGAAGTCACCCTCCCGCCACAGACAGGAGTGTGTGCTTCACAGACATTTCCTCGCTTCTATAATTTTTTTTTTGTGGTGGGGGGCAGGACATATGGAATATATAGATTGGTTAGAATTTTTAAATATCAGTAACCAGTAACAGCCCTGACAGACAATGATCGTTCTTTGTTTAGTTTTCCCCCCTAAAAACAGAGAAAAGAGGCAAGTGCATCAGCCATAAAAGTCACCCAACTTTAAAGCATTTGAAATAGAAGAGGAGGAAATGCTTTGAAAATAAATTGAATTTAAGAAGCTTTATAACTTCAAGAATGTGATTTCATAAAAATACCTACTCCTTATATGGGAAGCTAAAAACAATCAGAGGTATTATACAATTGGCTGTGTCCTTGGCAGATCATTCTGTAATAGAAACATCACTACATGACCAGTGTATGATAAAAAAGGACAAGATAACACATCCCTTTTGCATTGCTCCCAGATGTATGCAGAGCTTAAGCTGGAAAAGGTATGAAGCACAACACACAATAGACTCAGAGAGTTAAAATATTCAAAATAGATGGATTCTACTCCCTCCCTTTTCCTGCTTCTTCATTTCAGCTCCATAAAACTCTTCCCAAACACACATGTCAAAATACTGTGATGTGTGATGATGTTTATCTCTGATCTGGGAAGCTGGGCTTCTGCAGAAACAAGGCTTGCCTGAAATTTCATATACAGCTTCTAAGCATTGGTCTGACAGAGCTGGGAATTAAAACAGTCGTATCAAAATGCTGGAAAGAGAGAGAGGATCAGTATGTACAGTTTTCACGTCTTGCTGTAGTATGGATATCGAAAGCGTGAGAATACCTGTGACATCAGTCTGGACTATGACAGGTCATGATGACACATGACCCAACAACACACACGTCCATGGTTGGTCTCAACCAAGAAATAAACCTGAAAAAAAAAATCTTAAACTTATGTGCATTGTCTCTTTTCTGCTAAAGAGGATCTTCATTCAGATAAAATTAAGCTTCTCTTTTCTTTAAGTGTTCTTTGTTGCTGTCTCGGCACACATATTTAATATGAGTATTGCACATACCACCATATTAATCTTCTCTAATCTGTCCCTAATCCAGACTGCGAAAGAAGTGAAGGAGGGATACATGCTCACTCCTCCACACCTTTGCAGTACTTTGAAACAATCGGTACCTTAAATTCTATATTGATCATTCTAATTATGAGTAGGTAATTTAGAAGCAATCAAGGGTCCTGAAATATAAGGATTTTATAACGAGGGGAGCTAAGAACTTTCAGAGAGTGAAGGATATTTCAAGAGCAATGAACTCCTTTTTCGCTTATTACTGACACTCTTCTTCACTGACTTAAACTCAATGCTGAAGGGAGCAGAAACAGCAATAAAAGCACTGAAAGCAGGCCAAATAGAAGGACATGAAATGAAATAAATCCTGACCGTATTGTCTATTTCTCCTTTGAGACATTTTTAGAATTCTTCGACGAAACAGGAGTTTGTCAAAAATCAAAGCCCATGCATGAGAGGAAATGCCAACATCTGTAATCAAACTAGTTTCATCTTTGCGATGAACGGACTTTCGTGGATTGAGGATAAAATAAAACATCCAGTATCCACACGGGTGTCGGTTACGCTATCCACAGTGTGCCAAGTCTTGCATTCGGGTGAGTGTGGTTTTCAGTTGCGGCATGTGGCTGCTGAATAACTACTGGAATAAATAACCAATCGCACACTTGCTAGGACCAAAAAGCGATCACAAAAGAACATAAGTAATCATAAAGAAAGACGAATTAGCTGTCTTGTGGCATCTGTTACTAAGTGTGTAACTGAAGGCTGTTGTGATGGCCCCCTCTGTTGGCTGGGTGGATTAATTAAAGAGCAAGAGCTATTCACCTCTTAGAAAAACCCTTAGAGACTGGATTGTAATACCTCCAAGCCACTGGGTCAACTGAAAAGTTGAATATCTCCCCTCTCCTTTCCACATTCCCACTTTTCTCCGTGTCTGCTCCGAAAGGCATGGGACTGCAAGGTCAGGACCGACTTGTGAGAGGTGTGTCCGAGAGGGATGTCAGGCAGAGTTGGGACAGTGTGGGATGACCAGACGCGTGGATGGGACTCCGCCTCACTTGCAGGGCATGTGGGAACGTGTCAGCAGGTCTCTGTGGGTGGGTTTCTTCAAAATCCCAGCAAACCCCCCCCCCTCCCCACCAGACCCCCGGGCAGATAGACGCAGGGCAGCGCTGGTGCTCTTTCTCTCTCTTTCGTTCTCTCGCCTCTCTCTTCTCTTCTGTGGTGGAGCTGGGCCAGGGCAGGGGTTGGTCAGTGGCGGTCGTACGCGGTGGCTGTAGCCGCAGGGCCTGCGCCTCGCGCGGCAGCACTGTAGTAATAGGGAGAGCCTGCAAGGAAACACAATAATAATTAGGGCTTTTCTGGACACTCCACTCTATCCATTTGGATAAAAATCTAGTACAGCCGATCAGAACCAGTAAGTCTGAATTACAGAAACAAAATAAGAATGGTTAAAAATGAGAAAAATCCATTCAGCCCATTCAGCCCATCTGTTCTGTAGTAATTGGTAGATCTGAGCTGTTTCTTGAAAGAATTCAGGGTTTAGGCTGCGGCAGCGTGGCTGGATGGCTTATTCCACACTGCCACAACCCTGTGAGAAAATACGTTTCTTGTATTTTTGTGTTACGCAGTTTCCATAGTGTCCTCTTTTTGCTACTGGAGAACTCCACTGGGTCGATTTTGTCAATGTCTTTCAGTATTTTAGATGGGAATCTTGATCCTTGATTCATCATCTTCTCGGCTCAGGATTGAAAAGATCTAGTTCTTTTGTCCTGTAGGACATTCCCTTAAGGCCTGGAACAGTGTGGTTGCTCTTCGCTGATCTGATTCAGCCATAGCTCAAGTGCTTTACAGGTAATGGGGACTCCTCTCCACCACCACCACTGTGTAGCCCCCACCTGGATGATGCAACAGCAGAAAGAGCATGCTAGTACACTCACCACACACCAGCTATCAGTGGAGAGGAGAACAGAGTGATGAACCCAGATCATAGATGGGGATTATTAGGAGGGCATGATTGGTAAAGGCCAATGGGAAATTTGGCCAGGACACTAGAGTAAACACCCCTACTCTTTTCGAGAAATGTTCTGGGATTTTAAAGGACCACCAAGATTCAGGACCACAGTTTTACATCTCATCTGAAGGACAGCACGTACATCACTATACTGAGGCATTAGGACCTTCACAAACCACAGGGTGAGCACCCCCTACTGGTCCCACTAACACCTCTTCCAGCAGCAACCTTAGCTTTACCAGGCGGTCTCCCATCCAGGTACTGGCCAGGCTCACACCTGATTAGCTGATAGCTGTGAGCTGCAGGGTGACATACTGTAGCTACTGCCCATAATCAATCACAATCACAGTCACAATCAAAGCTGTTAGCCAGCTGCTTAAAAAGAAAAGGCTACTCATAGCTGGCTGATTCATTGTAAGCCCCTTATCTCTGCTCAGTCTGCATGACGAGACCCACAGCATACAGATTCCAGGTCAAGTCAAGGCTTTGCTGTTATTGATGGAGAGAGCCTGAAAGTAACAAGCAGCAACCCAAGCACAACCCAGCACAAGGGGCTACCTGGTTTAATGCGCAGCAGTGACCCCCGTTGATGACAGCAGGAGCAACTGCCACTTTGAAGGCTGTGTATGTTCTGATCCTGGTATGAGGAAAAGCCTCAGAGAACATGTTAATGTCTGTTGCAGGCTTGGTTCACCACATTGAATTCACTGCTTATTCCACAATGATATTTTTTTTAACCTATTTACGAACCTCCAGAAAAGGATCCATAAAGGTGCCAGTAGAAGGTTCCAAAAATAACATCCCCTTGATGCTTAAAGGGTGCTAATTAAATAGCCTTAAAGATGTTGCTCAACCACATTAACCCACATGATGCTCTGATGGCAGAGGTACACCCATCTGACGGTACAAACATCTTATAACCTCATTCTATCTCCTACTTATCAGGAACCTACGTAACCACAGAATTAAATGATAGTGGCTCAACCGGTGAAGACACCTACCCAAGTGCTTTTTGAGCTCTATAACCCAGGTGTTACAAGTTCATGCCTGGGCCATCTCACTAGCCTACTGTGACTGGGATTTTCCCTACTGACAGTGGACAATTGACTGAGCACTGCTGGTTCCTGATGACACAGCACCCCCTGCAGGCCCCTAATACTGGCAGTGAGGGAAGCCCCTCTCCTGCACTCAGTGTTGAAACATTTGCATCACAGCTTATGATTTGTTCAAATAAATAAGTGACTCCAAGGTGGGTGGGGTGTAAGGACGAAATAAAGCCTACACTTCTTTGATCTCTCCTGTGTGCGGTTGTAGTGTTCTTAAGTATGACCTGAGATGTGAACAATGTACCAACTGGTATTCCAGATTGGGTGGGTTTATAACAAAAAAAAACATTAAAGGCAAAGAAGACATAAACCTGCTGAATATAAAATGGATTAACCAATTTTCAATCCAACAGGCACACACAATTCCTTGATTGCCTGCCACGTGTAATTTAAGAATGAATCGTTTATGGGGAATTTTATTAAAAGACTTCTGAATATCTTCATGCACCATATTGTATGTCTGTGTTCATTACTGTGGCTGTTTGTTCAAAGTAAAAAGGTAATTAAGCAAAAGCTGTTTTTTTCTAAAGCCATGTTGACTATCCTCTAAAATATATAGAGTATGTACTGTAACAATATATTAATATATGAAGTTTATAACGTCACAGCACTGATGACAAGATGAGTGTTTAAAACAAATACAATATTGTTTTCAACTGCAGTGTGTTCACCTAGTTTATATTGAACAACACATTCTATGGCATTAAAGGACGCACTCTCACATATAAGATTAAGCAATTCAGAAATTTCGATTATCCTGAACAGCATGTCTTTGGACTATGGGAGAAAACCAGAGCACCCAGAGAACACCCACAAAGACTTGAGTTTATGCACTCTGCACACAGAATGCACCCCAGGCCAAAACTGAACCCCAAAAACAGAAGTGATGAGGTACACACAGCACTAACTGCCATGTCACATGCTCGTTATAAAGAAAAAAATACTGGTTGTACATTTGTAATATGAGAACTTCTGAATCCAAATTGTTAAGGACACTGTACAGTTAAATAGGAAAAAAATGTTCTTTTTTCCTTTTTTGTAATCAGGCTGTGTAACCACTAGGAAATCCTTATCTTAAACAAATAAATAGTGTGATCTAAATACTCATCTCTAAAGCAGGAAAGCAGAGAACTTCATATTAAGAAAATGCTCCAAGCACGCTGTGGGTGTCTCTAATTGACATATGTTCATGAATAAGGGATTTGTATGCATTAAAATAACTGAAAAACAAACAAATACATCAATAGGTAAAAAATAAAGAAAAGCTTTTTGTGGCGAAGTGTAATACATTAAACAAAAAGAAATCAATGAATAGTACAGTATAATTTCTAACGAGGAGGGAAAATGAGAATGGATTAAAAAATAATTTATTTTACTGCTTGAGTTCAACGGTCAAAAAACGTTGCATTTTTATCCCCAATTAAACTCTCAATTAAAATTATATTTAAGCACTCGTTCATCTGGGTATGTGTGATGTTATTTAGATTATTTTTTTTTAATGGAGACCTAAGTGACCTGAGTTACAATGTCTGCAAATCTCAAGCCTAAATAGAAGTGTTACAGACCAGACAGCCTGGTCTTGATGTCAGTCCTTCAGTAACTTGTAGATATAAACCTACAGCATGAAGACATTAGCAGATAGTGGATGCACAAGGAAGAATTTTGCTTTCTTTTTTGTGGCAGCAAAAGCAAAACCCTGTTTTGTACCTAGCTGTAGCATAATGAATTACAAGCTGAATATTAGAGGTGCTGGCTCATGGAGGACAATCTCAGCAGAACCACGTAACAGGTGGACAGGGTGCTGCAAAAGAACTACTGGTTTCACATGGGTGCTTTAATGCTTTTTGCAATAACTGATTACAATTAAAAAGCATATTAACCTCCCAAACACCAGTAAAGCCCACACTGAACGACAAAGGGAAAGTGAGACACAAAGGTACAGGAGGTCCCACTACTTTCTTCAGATATGCTCCATCAGTGATACTGCAGGTGTTCTAAAACATTCACAACACAACCCACAAAGGGAACCATCTACAAATGACATGGAAAACAAAAGAATCTGCAGTTATTCTAAGTTCATTTTAAATACTGTATATCTGTTTTCTGCTCCTATATTCAGATTTATCTAATTGTTTTTAATGTTTTGTAATGTTATTACAATGTAATGCCACATTAATAAGCCAATTTTACAATTCCCAGATTTGCATGTTACTGTAATGGCAACATAAAAGGATACCCAACATGTCACTACCTGGGCTGGTTCTCTTTACTGGTACTTATGTTTATTTTGTCTCAGCTATAGTATTTTGGACTTTGCATTTCAGCACTCCTCCAGGCTATTTCTTCCTTGTTCCTCTGGTACTCGTTCATGAGCTACATGGGAAAAAAATGCCGTGAGGATTTTCATTGTCAAAGTGATGAGTTGCTGACTATTGATCAATTATTCCGATCGTCTGACTCCAGCCTGGAAGAAAACCTCTGCCACTTCACCCAAGCCCCCCCATCATTAACGACCGTTTGCTTCCCGATCATTTCAGCCCTGCATTGCTCGCTGACATGTTCATTCTGCCCTCAGGAAAAAAGCAAAAAAAAATGGATTATTTATCTCACGGAGAATGGGAAAAGGGTCAACTAATGATTCTAATTTACTCAGCCAGAAAGGTCAAAGCATAGCTGGTAATGGCTTCAGTCAAGAGAAGAAAAAAATGTGCCTCCTATCTGTTGTTTCGCCCCTTCACGGCATCACTACACTAAATATAATACATTACAATAATATAAATAGTGTAATAATATAAATAACGATATAATACAGTGTGTATGTAGCTACGGTATCTACCTCTGTTTGTATTGCAATCTGTTCTATAGCTCTTCTTAATACTGTATCTCTTACAGTATGTGTGTATTATTGCCATTTAAAGCTGTATCTAAGGCAAAGTGAACTGCAGACTAGTTTTTCTTACAATAGGTTATTTCTTATAGATCTTCTACTCTTTCTATCTACAAATCCATGGCTGCTAATCTTTTCTAAAGACTTCATAGTAATATGCCAGTATGGTGAAAACCAACTGCTGTATTTTAGGCCTTGTACTTATACTGTATATGACAGAATGATCCTCTCATTGTAAGTTTCTAGATTTTATGCCTATATGACTGCCCAAATAACTTGTCAAAGTACATACCCTACATTTGTAACATAGCACAAAGAGTAAAGATATAACAACTTCACACTCATTCTTATTTCCTTTCTTCATCTTCTTTATCTCATTTAATCCCGTAATTGTGTTTACACACAAAACCAACAATTCAGTTGGTTACCCTGCAAACATTCAAGTTGTGGGTTAGCACTTTAGCACTTTTTATGTACTGTACTGTATGGAAACCACTAATAAATGCCACCCTTCAATCCCAACAAAATATGGCGATATCTTTGAATCCTTGGTAAGGTCTGCGAGGAGAGCTGGGATAGCATAAAACACTAGACAGGGTGCAGCAAGTTAAGCTGCTGCCAAGCTTCTGTCAGCTCAAATTACGAAAATCTCCCACCAGCCTCCATAGGAACATTCAAACAAAAACTAATTCATCTTGATCACTTGCGTTCACGGAAACTGTGATGAGCTAAAATGATGAAAAGGCTTGAGGATCAGACGGCCTGCTGGCGAATCGTTTTTCTTCATTAGCTCAAGCAAGGCTGCTGGTGTTTAATAACTCTGCTCAGAAATGGGCTCCCCTTCCCAGTCACACAGAGGGAGACCGTGCTACCCGAAGAACTTCCTCCTGCAAACTTGTGCCAAAGAAACCAAATCACGGGGGCAGGTGAATTAAAAACCAGCAGGCTCTGAAATCTCCTGAGTCAATGTCTTTTGGTAAGAAAAGCAAACTCTGGAGATAAATGATCTAACATGAAACAAGAGCAAGATAAAACATTTTTTTAACAGGTTTGAAAAGAACGCCTAGTGATTGTCGAACCAACAATATAGTTTTCTCACTCTGCTGAATGTGCCCTCTAGTAATCTAATTATGCTGAAACTATTACAAAGAACACTACCCCATAACTGCCCATGGCTCATAATTACCACACATGATTTAATTTGGAGTCTGTTATAACTTTTACAAATTTGGCAGTACAATATAAAGTACCGTTATGTTAGTATATAAAGCAAATAGCGTTTATAAATGTGCATTTGTTTAAGATTGCTTTTTTATATCATATTATTATTTTTATATTATTCTTTATTCTTTTTTTATGTAACAAAACAGTCAACCTTCCTCTACTGTAACTAACATTACAGGCACAGTATGTGGATTGCTTCCAGCGCTAAAACGCGGCACGCTTTATGTCTTCCTACTGTAGCTCTGAGATTCCTGCTTTGTTCATCATACGTTTTTTGGTTTTTTTTACCTTTCACAGAGGCTCAGTCCCATTTAAGAAACAACAGACAAAAGCTTTGCACAGAGAAAGAAGCTTTGTAAAAGTACCCCGGCGGTGTGAGTGTAAATGCTGGCTTGCTTTGCTGTAGCTGATTGCTTAGCAGATCTGGAGGCTGACTGGGCTGGGTGAGGTCCCCCAGCACCTGAGGGACAGAGGTGTGGTGTCCTGCACAATGATGACCCACATGATGAACACTGAAGCTCCGGCACAGCCCAGACCTCTTCCAGTTGAATTGGCGCATCCGTTTAAAGAAGGCTAAAAAATTTTTTTTTTTGGGGGGGGGGGTAATTTGGGGGGTGACGTCGTCGACACAAAAAGAATATCATGCAGGGACACTTTCTGTTGACCCCCACCCCCTGTCTATCCACCAGGTGTTGAGGGAGACCCCATGTTTCACCCCACAGCAGTGATTTTGTCAGCTCACAGGTTTGCTTGCAGCGACGTTCACAAAACAGGTTGGCTCCACACAAAAGAATCACTGTTTGCTCCATTCAAGCAACACAGGGCTCAAAGAGTAGCGACAGCCCAGGGCTAGTAGGATCCCCACTGGGATGCTTCAACATACCTTGTATCTGGCCCGACTGGCCGGGAAAAAACCCCGAAGTACATCCGATTTCTGAGCCAAGGCGCGAGCCATAGTCCTGCTGGAACACTGAGGGAGCAAAGAAGACTGAATGGAAAACCACACGGTCTGCCGCCCTGTGCCAACTCTCCTGCACCTGACCAACCACCAGGGGTCCTATTTACAAAGCTTCACCTCGGCAGTTATTTAAAGAATGTTCTTAGGAAGAGAATGAGAGCCCCTTCTAAGCTGCTGCCGGCTCCATAGAATCGTGTACCAGCCTCTCGGACTTCAAAGAACGTTCTTTGAACAACTCGCGGCTTCACACTTTGTCAACAGGGCCTTTCCTAAAATGGAGTCTCGACGATCCGCAGTCTGCGTCTGCATACGTTAAGACATCCTCCCTCCTGCAATAAGTGTGGCGGCTGCCCTTAACGTTTAAGAAATATTCCCGAGTGAAAATTCCACAAGAGTACTTTAAGGTCATTGTGAACTATTCAGTGTCCACTGGAATATCGCCTTTCAGGATATTCTTGTCTGTTAAACCGTTCTCGTGGTAGTGAATTCAATGTCCCCTTTCACACTTAATGGATTAACAAGGGCAAGCAACTAAGTACGCCATCTTTAGCACTTTGATCTTCGTTATATTTCCTTAGCGATTTAGTAAGACTCAGTTGGGCATTCCCAAAAAAGGCATGTCTTTATTTGTTTTTGTCCATTGAAGTACAAAAGTGACACTGCCCCCTAGCAGATCACTGGGACAGACAGTTTATATAAAGTTACGATTACTAGCACTTATAGACAGCATCTCTTGCTTTATTTTCGTTTTGCATAATACTATTCAGGTTGAAAAGCCCCTTTAGGGAGCTCCTGTCCTCGGGGCACCTTGGAAAAGTGAAACGTCTGGAGGAAATATGTTTTGAACGTGGACACAGGTACACTCATGCAAGCCAGCCAGGAGCTCCACAAGTAGAGAACATGGATATTACATCACTGCTTCATAGCAGCCTACTTTATCAGAATTTACTTTGGGATTATCATTGCTCAAAACATTAGCATGCTAAAGACTGGGTGTAAAAACATAAACACACATTATTATAATCAGAATCTACAATGGCTGCTTCAATAGAATGGTGCAAAACACCAACCACTGTTTAGAGGCAAAATCATCCTGAACTGTTTTTCCATCTCAGACATCCTAAACCTGTTGATGTCTGCAACTGAGTTTGTAAGTGTGAACATAGTGTATACTTAGCAAAAGGCCAAAACCAAATGGTAAATTTGTCTTTAAAATTGAGTCTTTTATTGAGTCCTCAACATGGGTAAGCACAGGAGCTCTCTGTTTGTACACAAGGACCACTTGTAGTGCCACAGATATTCCTTTAGCTGCTGGCCAGGAAACACACAGAGGAAAGAAACTGTTCCAGCACAATGTGGGGTGATACTCTGGACTGCTGAGACAGAACCCACTGCACTTACCTAACAAGCTGGGGTTAGGAAATCTCCACGACTCATTGTATGTTGAGTACTGGGGATGAGTGTATGGGCTCCCAGAAAAGTCACTGCCTGAAATGAGATGGAAAAAAAAAAATCAAACTTGTTATTCCAGCTGGTAGTCTGAAGCATCTAATCATGCCATGGAGAATAAAAGACACCGAAAAGGAAAGTTTAGAAAACTATTCACCACTTATTCTGGTCTAAAACTTTGCTCCTGTTTTTACTGTTTCCCAAAAACCTGCCTTACTGTATTTAATTAAATCATGAATGTCCTGTATCATATATGCATTTCTAACATAAACATGTGTGTGATTAGATTACAAATAGAGGGGAGCTATTACTGGTGGCATCTCCTCCAGTCCCATCTGAATCACACTCCCTTTCCTGTCTGTTTTCTGTTCCACTCCCTTCTCCCACAGCCCCCTCTCCCCACAACCCTACCCATTTCTCAATTTTTTTACCTGTCATTACCAACATTTCCTTCCCTCCCTGTCCCTAACGGAGACCTTTTCCTTGCCTGCGCTTCCTCAAAACCCCCCCGTCTCTCTCACAGCATCCTTCTCCCCCTCCTTCTCTCTCCTGGGAACTCTTCCCCTGGCTGACAGGCCCGGGTTCCCAGTTCTATGTCTGTTCTGCCTGAGTGCTCCTGGTGTCAGCCTCCTGCAGCCCTGAGCGGCTGAGACCAGCGGCAACAGACACCGCCGCTGACAGGACGACACCGGGCCCCTCTGCGGCCCAGCGGCCCCGCGGCCCCAGGACCAGCCGCCAGCCGGCCCCCGAGAGGACGGTGTCCCGCACGGGCCGGGGTTGAGGGAGTCGCGGAGCGGTGGGGCACGAGGCCTCGCGCTCGTCAAAGAGGATTCCTGACAGAGCCTGATGTTTTGATTTGAAACCGGGGCATAAATTACACAAAGTCACACACGGGCAGTGGGGTTTCTTTTCTGCGAAAAAAAAAAGAAGGAAAATGTGTCTCGTCATTCTGAGACAAGAAAAACCCACCTACTATCATCAGAGTTAAAGATAATATCTCTCAAAAAACCTGATAAACAAAATGCGGATTTTAGTGAGCTGTGCACGTTGTTTTTCTCTTTCAAAATGTTTTCTTCCTCCATGTTTTGCGAAATACACATTTATGGTACACATGTATATATTACAGTATATGTATTTTGACACAAATATTTAAATACTTGTTTTACTATAATAATCTTTTTAGCTCCATGATATTTTTTTCATGAACTGATCTTTTCGCTCTCAATCACAAGAATTGGACCCGTCTTTGTTTACTTTCTGTCTCAAATGTGGCAAATTCAACAATGAGCAGGATCAACCTGGCGCACGCCTTCTCTACCCAAAAAGGATTTAATTATATTTATAAACATTTTGTCAGCGTTGTGGCCAACCCAAGGCTACAATGGGACCTGATGATTCTACTGAACTGAATCCTACCTGATGATTGTTTTACCGGACAGCACTCTATAATCTTTGGGTGTGTGTTCTTCTTCTCCTCTTTACAGAATTCTTAGAAGTCTGTATAAGCAGTCTTCCACAAGTAACTTTTCCCCCCTCGGGTTTCTTGTATGGAAAACGTATTCAGCCTGGCAGAAGGTCTTGCCAGCAGGCAGGAGGAGGAGGGTGAAATTGCTGAGGTGGCTGATGGTCTTCAGCCCGCACAGCAGGTCCACGGCCAGGACTGATGGCGAAGGCGTCCGCTGAGCCAGTTAAGATGCAGCTCCGCGGCGCAGTGGCACCGGGAGGCCAGCTCAGGTAATTATAACCTTCAACAGTTGGCAGGTGCACAGCAATGCGCAGGCCTTTTGATATTCGCTCGCTCGTCACCTTGAAGAGAGCCGTCGGGGCCGTGTCAGGCTGTTGAGAGGGCCTCAGCCTGGGCCCACTCTGAGGGGACTCTCAACCACCGCCGCGTCAAGGTCACACACACCCAGGGTGCACCACAGACACACGTCAACGTCAGGCACGGTGGGGACAGGCTTGCCTGGGCTGCGTGCGGCAGGGTCAGGCCCAGAACTTTCTCACGGCAGTCCAGTCACACTAACCACTCTCCGGACAAGAGGCCTAGCTGGCGATCAGACTAGAAATTGCAGGGAAGCAAGAAGTCGCAGTGTGGCTGAGTGAAGCTTTGGAATGAGTTTATTTTAGGGAAGGTCCCTTCGGAGAGCAAAACATGAATACGCATGTTTTTACTCTTCCTGCGCTCTGAACAAGAGCCTCTCCAAGGGGATTTTTATAACTCGGAACATCATTCTGAGTTATTCTAAATGTTGCTCAATCCTAAAAGGACATGTTGTACATGGTTTAACGCCTGTTTTAACGCTAAAGTGAACAGTAAATTGCATCCTTTTACATTACACTATTTATCACAGAATATTCCTACCAATTATTTAGTCATTCACTTAGCTGGATAATCTGTCCTACTTGGCTGGTCATCTCATTCATTTTGTGAGAAAAAATGACATGTACAGTAGGAAATATTTATGTAAACAAGATTTCTTGTGGCTCAGATTTTACCATCTAAAATAAAGCATGGATTCCTAAATTATGGCTATTGATATTTAGTTTATTTTTTCTCTCTTCCACGTAGCCAATTTTGTTTCATCACGATAGTCACTGTAACTTGTGTATTAAAACACACAATCTCCAATGCATTTCCCTGTACCCTCAGGAACATCCACTCAAATGGCCGGTAGAGAACGTCAGCGTGTGGTCAAATTAAGAAAAATAACATTTGCAGACTTAACTCTCACGAGACAACTGATTGATTTGAATGTTTTTGTTACAGGCACCCTGCAATATGCATGTACAATTTTCTGGGCAGTGCCTTGCCGAGAATAGCACCCCCCATCTAAATCAACACAGGGACAAACAGCTCTGTTGTCAAAATTTAGAACATCTGCATGCTAATTTGTTTGGGCCTCACTTAACTCACCAGCAGCCCTACTGCAACCAATGACTTCTGCATGTTGAGAGCTGTACTTGACTGATCCTGGCTGCGGTAACGAGCAAATTATGGTAATTGTGTTATTACAAATGCATAGAAATTTTCAAAGGAGCCCAGTCAAACAATATGTTTCCCCTAAATAGGGAGCCTTGGTTTATGATGCGATTTTTTTTATGTGTACGTGAGCGCTTTGCCTCATTTACTTATGTTTTCAAAGGTATTTCACAGTTCAATTTTCTTGAACTATGGTGCTCGCCCAGGGACGACAATAACTGCACAAAAATGTCTTGTTTGTATATAAAAGTTTACACTGTAATTCTACGTCGCATCACATTCAGTCCTGTGGTTTCTCACAGTTCGTCTTGCATACTGTACAATATTTAACATTTTTTTAATCATCCTCTTGTTTTTTTCAGTCCTTACTGTACTGTTTATTAATGTTTAAGAGCTGTAATACTTTTAACAGCACAGGAAAGATATTTGTTGTACCAATTGTAGCCGCACAGGAAAGGTCAGGCAATGATTGGGTTAGGGATGTCCATCTACAGTATGTCTGGATAGCTCTCTATCAATTATCCATGTGTTAACTTTAAGGCTAATTTGTGCTTTTGTTTTCTAAATCTCCAAAAGATTCAATCAGATTGACAACATTTTGTCATGTAGATTTTTAATCATTAAAGAAATAGCATTTGCTTTACATCATAAGCTATGAGCTCTCAATAATATCTAGTGATTTTCACATTTTGATTTATTATAACAAATTAGCAAATACATTTTATTTGAGAAGTCTAAATGACTATTAAAAAAAACACTACCTCCTCTAACAAAAGAGACAGAGAAGCTTGAAATAATAAGGGATAAAAGGTTCTGTTTACAAGGATTATTTGGAAAAAGATAAATGTTTAATTCATGAAGAGACAATAATTAAAATAAAAATAGTGAAGCTACGGTATATGTGCATTTATCCCCAGAAGGTTAACAGCAACTGGAACAGAGCATCTTTGTGATTTCCTCTAATGAACTAACGTTGTCGCCAACAGAACACACTCGCTGTTTCTGTGGAAGAGTTTGGGCTGGGGGTCTCAGATTACTCAGGGAGCTATTGTTCAGCATTTTCTCCTTCTGCAATGCACAATGTAGAATAGGCAAGAACTTTTCCGAATAATGTTTTTTTTACCGCTTTTGCTGTTTCTAAAATACAGAACCAGCCAGGTCCCTAATCAAGATATTTTATGGATATATTTTGGAAACCCGTATCTATGACGGTGAAATCTTTCACCCCGTGTTTAAGAACTTCCTTGCCCCAGCTGCTTGATATTAAAATATGATCTTATAAATTTCAGAACGGAGAATAATTCGAAGTTCGAATGATGGGCGCTTGACAGCTCTTGGTTGTATCATGTCTGTGCTTGACACATCCCAGAAAGGAAGGCCTCGGCGTAGCAACGATGTATAATTTAAAAATCAATACATGAATATCAAGTGCTTTCCGAAGACCCCAGGAACCACGCTTCAGAGCAACCATTTAACGTGTCTGTCCAGCAGATTCTGGAGGCAATGAGCGACTCGGTTTACAGTGTTTACCCTGGACAATCATCTAGGGGAAATCTTTGCAGAAGATTAAGAAATACATGTAAAAAGTTGAAACTTTAGACTGAAAGGATCGAAGGAATTCCTTTCATTTCATGTACAGTAAGGGATGTTGGCTTTAGTTGAGAAAACCGAAATGCAATAAACCTTTATACAATGAACATCCTGATTTGTATAATTACTTAAATTACTTAATATAACCTCATTTGAGGTTGGTTCCCAAGCAAAGAAATTATGGTATGACAGAGAAGTAGAAGAAAGTAGCTAACAATGCCTTAATGGCACAAAGTCAAGCATGTGTTTTAAGTACCCTGAGTTAATTTAAAGAAATACTTCAATACAGTGAGTTCATGCTCTTTCAACTCATATATACTACATACCCCTTTATAACATGCCTGAGTCCAGTTAAGTTCAGACTGCTCTCCCTCTCTGGTGCCCTCTAAAGGACACATTGGTCTCTGCGCTTTCCTGAGAGTGATGCACTGTGTCCACCTACCCTGTAACAGATCTCCAGCTCACTTGG